CCTTATCCCTCCCTGCCCACCCATCCTCCCCAGTTCCTTTCCCTTTGGTACCTGTTAGTCCATTTTTGGGTTCTGTAATTCTGCTGCTGTTTTGTTCCTTCAGTTTCTCCTTTGTTCCTATACTCCTCAGATGAGTGAAATCATTTGGTATTTCTCTTTCTCCGCTTGGCTTATTTCACTGAGCATAATACTCTCCAGCTCCATCCATGTTGCTGCAAATTAACCCCACCTCTTTTTTCCTCTGCCTCCCCCAACACCCAGGTTCGGTTCTGTGGCTCCAGATGGCCAGTACCACTCCCCTATTAAGAACAAGAGTGCACGGTTCAATGCAGTGCTGGCAGCACTCACCCCTTCGAGATTAGCTGTGACTTTCCAAGCTATGGGTCTCATGAAGGTACTTGACTCTGATTTTAATTTACCTCACTGTTTATTCTCTTCCAGGTGTGGGTAACAATTTCAGCAGCTGAGCTTCCTGAGTCCCAATTGGTGTAGTGTGGCTGGGCTTACTGTTGAGATACTAAGGTGGTCACTTGGCCATACCCAGGGAACATTTCTGTACCCTTCCTACTGTAGGATCCCATCCATCTGCATCCCCGGTATGCTGTGGATGATGGTGAGTGAAACATAGGGATTGTGGCAGAAGCCCCAAAAAGATGACCCTGGGAGAATGGTTCATTCACAACAAATACATCTGCTGGGAGAGCAGCTAAGAGCTCCCGCATGTGGGTGCAGGTTGGCCTGCCTTGGTGGAGTTCACTGGGGAATGCTGATGCTCACGTGGCTCTGTGGGGTGAGGCATTCAGCATCACAGGTTGAAGTCCAGGAGGCTGGATCTCTAGAGGCCAGCTCTGCACGTCCCTTCCCTCTTCCCCCTCCCAAATATTGGTTTGCAAAGAGAAACCAGAAAAGAAAATTCTGGAAGGCCCCCCCTCCTCTTCAGAGCCTAGCTCTGTCTGCCCTCTGGGCCCTCTCTGTCTCTGCATGGGAGAAAAGCCTGCTTTCAGCTCTACTGAGCTTGGTGAAGCTGGAAGAAAAATTAAGATACCCATAAATATACATTTGTGGCCAGAATCCAGCTTTTCCATCAAGGAGGAATAAATTTCATTCACCTGACTCCTGGCCTGACATCAGCACACAGTTGTCTGAATAGCAGGAAAATCCTTTACTCACTTCTTCTGGGTCTGTCCCGCCTCACAGGAAGCCTGCCTGACATGAACTTCCCCGAGTGGTGCCCTTCGCACCCTTGGCACAGCTGTGATGCTGCACACACCCATGCTCTGAGCGGAGTCAGTGTCCCTGCACCTGCCACGGGAGCTGCTTCCTGTGCCTGTGACTCGGTGGCTCTTTAGAGGGCCGGGGAGGGTGTTTAGTTATACAGTCCCACCTCAGGGGGCTGAGCTGGTCCCCTCAGCTGGACTGGGCGACAAACGAATGAGGCCTAGTGATGAAGGCTCACGGATGAGATCAAGGCACTAGGCAGGGGTCAAGGTGCTGAGGACACCTTCTTCAAGTCTGTAAGAAACCACTGCAGCCATTTGCAGGACTCCAGAAAGAGGGAAAAAGAGGGAAGTCAGAAGAGCCTAGAACTGCACCACGGAGAAGATGGGACAGAAACTGGACCCAGGCTTCTCTGGAGCCTCCATAGCAGCATTTGCACAATTGCCCCTTTGGTCTCAGTGGCCCCAGGGATCCTTTGAGGAGAGTGCTGGGTGGTTGTACACTGGCTGGCGTTTGGCTGTAAAGGCAGTGTAGACAACCTACACTGTTAGGTTTTAGAGTGGATGAGGGTGTGTGAAGGATGTCCATGCTGCCAGCAGCCCCATTAGCTCCTCCAGGTCAGGGGTGGAGTCTGCGTGGCAGGTGTACAGCAGTGTAGACAAGACCATGGGGGTCTTTAGGGAGAGAATTGATTTTAAGTGTCACCAGACCTGCAGTAGTGAGGGGTCAGGGAGAGGAGGCAGAGTGCATGCATGTTAAAATGTGCCTGTTCTCCATCCCCGCCAACTCCAGAGGGCCTTGGGGGTCAATTTAGGTCCATTCCTTCCTTGTCCATCATCTGAACTGAATACTTGGTTCCTGGCAGTGGAGAGACATCATGATCGCGGGGTCTGAAGTCAGAGAACCCTGGGCCCAAACCTCAGGCCAGACATGACCAGCAGGGGGGCTGTGGGCAAGTCAGGACCCTCAGTTTCTCCACCTGTGAGATGGGCCTCATGATAATGGTGAGCCTGAGAGGGGGAGTGCACGGGCTGCGCTGGCACAGAGCAGATGCTCCCTGGCTCGGAGCCGTTGCTGAGATGGTAGCCGTCGCCACTGCTGTGACTGGGGAGGCAGGAGCTGGCTGTGGGAGAGGAATGATAAGGCTTTCCCGTGAAGCACTCGCCTGGCCTCCTGGCCTCCAGGTAACAGGGTGGTCAGAGACGCTCTGTGTAGATCCATGCGTGCTCTTTGGATTCCTGGGTACCTGAAGCAAAATGTTGTGACTGTGAGCTGGCACCTGCCCTGCCCAGGAGGCAGATTTATCATGGGGTGGGGGACCTTCCCTGGAGCCAATGGGCCTCGGGCTCTGCGTGGTCTGGCTTCCGCCAGCGTGGTGGGCCCTGGTGGGCAGCGCCCCTGGCCACTGTGGTCTCATCACGAGGGTGATCTCTGCACCCTCCTGGCAGCTCCTCCTCTCCCAGGGCTCAGTCACATGACAGATGTTTTCTTGGCTAAACCCTAAGATGGGCCCTGCTTGTTCTGCTCTCGCTGGTGAGCGCAGAGACGGACCCTCCTCCTGCGTGCATTCCTTATGAATCATGAGCTGTCACCATGGCTCCCCATGGTGACATTTGCTCAAGGCTGAGCATACCCAGTCCTTTTAAACTTTGCCCAGATGTCTTATTTTTCATGGCTATCTCTCATTTCCATAGTGTTTTTCTGTACTTACAGATTTTCTCTTAAAGCCTAGCCGTCATAGCCATCCTCTGATTTGTGTCCAAAATGCCACTCCAGGCTAAATGATTAGCAGGAGCAAAAGGAAAGGAAACTAAGATGTCTGGCAGGGGGTGGGAGGTGGGGGCTTGAGAACTCCGCAGGAGCTGGAGCTGGGAGTCTGGGAGGCCTTTTCAGGAGGAAGGAAACTGGGGAAAGTGACCGTGAGTTGGTTTGGAGCAGAGGGAGTGTGGCATATAAAGGCTGCTAGGCCATGTTTTGAGTTGATTTTGCATGGAAGTAAATATTTTAGTGTAAGACAAGCTGGTCTCTACTCTTAAAGCAGTCTCCCTCATCTGCATCCACTGGGTCCCACCTGCAGAGTTCCTGATTCAGCAACTCTGGGGTGGGGCTGGCAAATCTGCATTTCTGAATTCCCAGGTGATCCTGATGGAACTGGTTGGCATTGGTGTGTGAAGGATGTCCATGCTGCCAGCAGCCCCATTAGCTCCTCCAGGTCAGGGGTGGAGTCTGCGTGGCAGGTGTACAGCAGTGTAGACAAGACCATGGGGGTCTTTAGGGAGAGAATTGATTTTAAGTGTCACCAGACCTGCAGTAGTGAGGGGTCAGGGAGAGGAGGCAGAGTGCATGCATGTTAAAATGTGCCTGTTCTCCATCCCCGCCAACTCCAGAGGGCCTTGGGGGTCAATTTAGGTCCATTCCTTCCTTGTCCATCATCTGAACTGAATACTTGGTTCCTGGCAGTGGAGAGACATCATGATCGCGGGGTCTGAAGTCAGAGAACCCTGGGCCCAAACCTCAGGCCAGACATGACCAGCAGGGGGGCTGTGGGCAAGTCAGGACCCTCAGTTTCTCCACCTGTGAGATGGGCCTCATGATAATGGTGAGCCTGAGAGGGGGAGTGCACGGGCTGCGCTGGCACAGAGCAGATGCTCCCTGGCTCGGAGCCGTTGCTGAGATGGTAGCCGTCGCCACTGCTGTGACTGGGGAGGCAGGAGCTGGCTGTGGGAGAGGAATGATAAGGCTTTCCCGTGAAGCACTCGCCTGGCCTCCTGGCCTCCAGGTAACAGGGTGGTCAGAGACGCTCTGTGTAGATCCATGCGTGCTCTTTGGATTCCTGGGTACCTGAAGCAAAATGTTGTGACTGTGAGCTGGCACCTGCCCTGCCCAGGAGGCAGATTTATCATGGGGTGGGGGACCTTCCCTGGAGCCAATGGGCCTCGGGCTCTGCGTGGTCTGGCTTCCGCCAGCGTGGTGGGCCCTGGTGGGCAGCGCCCCTGGCCACTGTGGTCTCATCACGAGGGTGATCTCTGCACCCTCCTGGCAGCTCCTCCTCTCCCAGGGCTCAGTCACATGACAGATGTTTTCTTGGCTAAACCCTAAGATGGGCCCTGCTTGTTCTGCTCTCGCTGGTGAGCGCAGAGACGGACCCTCCTCCTGCGTGCATTCCTTATGAATCATGAGCTGTCACCATGGCTCCCCATGGTGACATTTGCTCAAGGCTGAGCATACCCAGTCCTTTTAAACTTTGCCCAGATGTCTTATTTTTCATGGCTATCTCTCATTTCCATAGTGTTTTTCTGTACTTACAGATTTTCTCTTAAAGCCTAGCCGTCATAGCCATCCTCTGATTTGTGTCCAAAATGCCACTCCAGGCTAAATGATTAGCAGGAGCAAAAGGAAAGGAAACTAAGATGTCTGGCAGGGGGTGGGAGGTGGGGGCTTGAGAACTCCGCAGGAGCTGGAGCTGGGAGTCTGGGAGGCCTTTTCAGGAGGAAGGAAACTGGGGAAAGTGACCGTGAGTTGGTTTGGAGCAGAGGGAGTGTGGCATATAAAGGCTGCTAGGCCATGTTTTGAGTTGATTTTGCATGGAAGTAAATATTTTAGTGTAAGACAAGCTGGTCTCTACTCTTAAAGCAGTCTCCCTCATCTGCATCCACTGGGTCCCACCTGCAGAGTTCCTGATTCAGCAACTCTGGGGTGGGGCTGGCAAATCTGCATTTCTGAATTCCCAGGTGATCCTGATGGAACTGGTTGGCATGATCCACCGAGAGCCTCTGCCCAGAACAGATGGATATGGTTGTGAATTCCTAGCCCATCCCAGCCACCTCAGCACCACCCCCCCCCATGGCCCCTGGTGCCTCCAGGGTCACGGCTCAAGTTCCCTTCCAGCTCCAGGGCACGACTGGCCTCTCAGCCACCCATTCTCCCACTCCCACCTTTCACATGTTAGTTTTCATGTCCAGTTCAGAGCTCAGGCACATGTCCCTTCTTCAGCAGGGTTACAGCCTGCCTGTGGTCCCTCTGTCACATTCCCAAGGGACTGTAGTCCCCCTGTGGCACTGGTTCAGTTATGACCAAATAATGATGTGGTAGGTGGTTTTGGTGTCTCTGTCAGTGTCTCAAGAGGCTCTCTCCTGCTGTTGATGGGTTTGGGGATATTGTGTCCTTGAATGACCT